ATGACAGCGTCTCATTGAAACATCACCAGCTTATTGAATATTAAGAAATTACATATAATTCAGTCAAAATTTAAATAAATGTTGGATTTTTGAATAAAATCCATGTTTTAATTACTATTGTTGATTTTTTATTCATGTTTATATTATTTTCTTCAATTGATATGCGATACTGGGTGTTTTTTCCTATAAACCTCTTGCAGATAGCCATTAAGCACCTACTTGATGACAGACTCTACCAAAAGATATTGCTCGTTTCCAAACATTCGTTCATTTACTTGCCGTTCATCAGAACCATTATGGCACCTTAGATTGATATTCCCATAAAACCATTCAGGTTTTTTGATATCCATACATCCATAAAGTTGAATATTTTTCGTTGTTCAGGAACTGAACAAACATCCACACTATATTCACAGCGATTAAGAACATTATAGGTTATATTTATATTAGACATTATTTGGAAAAAGCTGATTATTGCATTTCAAGGAGTGACACATGTGTGGGATCTGTCGACACTTGGTACCAGTCACAAAACATATACTCTGAAGGTTTAATTCCATGCTATTCAATGACAACACGGTGACTTGTGTGGTTGTCAGCGGCCATTTTGTGAGGGTGCGACAGGGTTGCCAGATTGTGCATCAATATCCCGTTTCAAACTCCCGGTCCCAGTGGAGTAAGTTCCGCCAACTGTTGAAATATACTCTGCTATGCTTTATAAGACTTTCGTGACATTTTTCCCAAAATCATTGCACAACACTTGAAAAAATGCAAATGAAAATTTAAAATTATTTCTATGACGCCGCAAAATAGCTCCGTCGGTACCTTGGGTTATACATCTTGACAGTAGGGATGTTCGATACGATCCTATATTTAGAAGTATCAATACATTTCACGAGTATCGTCATCTTTCGATCCGGACTGTGTCAGAAAGAGTGACTGCCATTTGGCTGCGACATTACCCTGCCAAATCAGACACATTTTCGTCGTTAGACTTGGCAACCCTGCGAGTGACAGATAGATATCCCCGCAAGTCAAAAAGACAAACAATAAACATTACTAGTTTTTATGATTTTTTGACTTAAAAGACATTATTTGCGAAACATTTTTCATATTTTTTTGTCTATGTCCATAGTAATTGCATTATGCATCAGCGAGATGTAGGGATTGACACGTCTTACACATATTATATGTGTTTTAGGATCGATAGGACATAATGTTTTTATTGCTTTGAAGAAATTCATTAACCCATAAATTAATAAATGATTACTATTATGACGTAAAGGAAGATGAGGAATTGGATGGAATGTATTTTATATTCTATTTTCTTGCAAAATACAGACAAATCCACTCTATTCAACAGGTATGTAATGATAACTTTCAGTATATTGAAGTTGGTAAATTCGAGAGTGCCATGCATTAACAAACGTCCAAATCTGCTGCCATATTCAACAGCTAGAAAATCGACCTATTATTTGCCGCATTCCCAGCTTCTGTCAAATTGTATTTCGATAAGGTATTTTCCCATTGGTCCATAATATGGTGAAATCGGGCCTAAGTCAGTCAAACAAGCCCATACAATAAATCCATAGTCCCCATAAATTTGACAACATTGTGATCTAAGCCATCGTTCTGATCTGTGAATACTTGAGAATTCCGGGTGCTAGATGGGTCAACCGTTTTGATGATACGACATCTATCTGTACATTGTGCAGAACCTTGAGCAGTAATGTAGGGGGTTATCGGTTACCTTTCATCGTACGGGATCACGATGGAGATCAATTTGGCAGCATTTTGAGTTTTACCTACTTCTTTACTATCCATCTATCTGAGTCCAGGGCTACTAGACCTACATCGGCTAATGACGAAGATGACTTTCTCGACTCCATATACCCACAATAACTTTGTAAACTTTCACTTTGATCTACCCAGATGTTTTTCTTTGTTTTTTGAATAATTGACTTTTCGCAAAAAATTAAATTCACCTTTATTGATGCTTAAAAGTATGAGAGGGGAAACGAATTTTTTTCGAACTGCTTGCTCATTTTTCTTACAAATACGCTCAAATTATAGAAAATATCTTTTTCAAGAATTCTACCGCTTTTTGTAAACAAAACTGTAGCAGCATCTGGAAAAATGTTTTCAATTGCAAAGTCTTTAGCAGCAATAAACGCGATGAATTACTTTTTTTGGAAACCTTGTTCAGTGAAAAAAAACTACTGGATAGATCAGAATCTTACAGAATTATTGTGGATATATGCAGCTCAACATTACTGATTTTGTCAATATTTGAAATTCACCCCTTCGATTTCCAAAAAACTGCAAGTTACCCTTTTCTTCCTATTTTTTGATCCTATATCCAGGATGTAAAAACTCCAGCTTCCATAAGTTTTAGAGAACCCATTCCAGATTTTCAAAACACTCTTTGATTTTTTGTATGTCGATTGGTTTCTACGATATCGATAATTCGATATCTCAGAAAGAAGTGGTAGTATCGGGGTTTTATAAAAGTCAAGTCAAAGCTGAGCATGCTATTCTAAGAAACTCAGTATGACCATTCTTTGCCAAGATTCCACTTTGAAAGTGCCACTAAAAAACAATTTTTATTTGATCTCTTAATTATTTCCGTTAGTGTATATTTATAATAGGTTATTTAGGTTACGGGTACTGAGGACGTCCCGGTAAGAGAAAGCTTTAAGGGAACGAGTATGGATGAGGGCACTTTTCTCTAATATGTAATAACCAATAGCGATGCGAAGACTTAAAGTATCATCGCACTATTCGATCAAGAAGTCTCCTAGCGTAAAAACGGTCATTAGAACGTGATCCAAATGTAAAGGCGCTCAAGTCGACACACAATCCGGTCAGCAGCGTTATAAAAAACGCTAAAACGAGCCAGAAAAACAAGAATACTTTCACTTTCAATTCATCATTCTATAATGTATGGGGATCTAGAAAGAAAATAGCATGTATGGCGAGGTAGCGAGAGTCTATTACAAGTGCACTTTATATCTTCTGAATTTACATAATCATAGATACTCGATGCTTGGGAAATAGGTGATTAAAATGTTGCATTGATTTCCTTTGAACTACATATATACCGCGGAATGTACCTATATGTACATGTATATAGTACATTACAGTAACGTTCACATAAAGGAATTCAGCGTGTCAAGCCGATCTCTGCTGGTGAGCTGGAGAGAAGACTGGGAGCGACTTCGTAGCTGACAAGAGAGTTGGAGGTCAGCTCTACTTGGGGACGCAACAATCTGGTACAATTTAATGGTTTCAAAACACAGTACTGTACTTTGACTAACAAGAAACGCCCTGGCGCTCATCGGGCTTAGATGCATGGCCAAATAGCCGTTCATTTCGGCTGGTCAGGGTCCGGATCACCAAGAACTTGATCTGCCACGAACACAGCTCGTCAATCGCGGCATCTGCTGAAAAAAACTAGTCTATTTGCGTAGCGCGAAGAAGCACTCTTCCCCACACAACCTCCTTACTCTGTACAAGGCTAAGATAAGGCCCACCCTCGAGTACTGCTCACATGTCTGGTGTTCTGCCATCCCGACCACAATATGCTGTTCAGATGAGGGCTGTCCGACTGATCGATGACGCTTTTCTAACGGACAGCCTCAGGACCCTTTCGCACCGACAGCGACCAAGCTCTATTCAACCGCTATGCCAACGAGCTTTGGTTCTCAGAGCTCTTCTCTATGATGTTGCCGCTCGATGAGCCAGCAAGGCAGTCCCGCCTGACTTCGGTCTTCCATCCTAATCATGTGGGACTGGCCGGTACGACCGCTCCTTTGTCCCTATGGTGTTGAAATTGTGAAACAGAATGTCTTGTCCTTACTAACAGTAAGCAGTTCAAAAATCGGATCTAAAAAGTGTCTTTAAGCTCCTTACATCAGTCGCTATACTGGTATCCCGGTATCTAGGCAGCTACTTAAGTGAGTAAGATATTGAGCTTCTCCATCACAGATCTCGAATACATTCTCATGATGAACCAGAAGAATAAATTTTAGATTTTTGAAGTGGTGTAACTAACCGTTAGACCATAGTGCAGTTACTGTAAACGACTGTTATACTTACCAGACTCGTATCGCATTGGAAACTTGTTCTTAACATTCATTGCTTAGAGGAAATGAATCTACTTAATAAGGAAAGCGTTGAGTAACATCTTTTGCAGCATTCTATTTATAAATAACAATGTTTACTAATCTACTGATTTACAAAAGACTAGATAATTTTATTCAAAAATCTAGAATTTGCAGAATGTAGATGAGCATAACATTATGTAAAACGAAATTCCTTTCTTATTTTCTAGGTCAAGTACGTACGAAATTGCTGGTTTGGTATCTATGAAAATAAATATAGTACACAAACGTGTTCCTAGAAACACTTTCATCATCATCCGATTAGTCGTCTCAAATTAACTGTATAAGCTTCCGTTTGCTTATAGCCACTAACAACTATAATGGATTTTTATTTCGTCACAAAAAGCAGATAATATTCGGTTACTATTCGGTATTCGGTCTATTCGGCTACTTTCATTATTCGTTATTCTACCGAATATTGCAAACAAAGCATGAATAAAGTCACACATAATATTACTCAACAATCAAAATTTCTCACCAGAAATCATTGCAATTAATATATATAAGAGGTAAGGAATTAATTATTCTTTCAGCATTTGACATTGCAACCGATTCCACTTTTCCTCTAACCTTGTGAAACATATACACTGCCACTGGACGCTGAATGATATTTTTTTTACGAATTTTGTCAATTTTTGGTACTGTTGTACGGCGGAGATATCATTCAAGAAGAGATTTTGTACTCCCAATCTTTGACAGCAGGTACTAAATCTTAAATTTTGTTGAAAAAAATTATTTGGATTAGAAGAAACTCATTGGATTTTGCACAGATGGCGCACCTGCAATGATAGGTGTACGATCGGGCTTAGCTAAAAAGATCAAGGAAAAAATCCCGCAATGGTTAGTACACATTGTGTTATTCATCGGCAAACGTTTGCTTCCAAAACATTGCCACAGAAATTGCGCCACACTTTGGACTCGGCTAGAAGGATTATAAACTACATCAAGAGCAGCGCTTTGAACAGTCGATTATTTACTTTACTTTGCGAAGATTTCGATTCTGATCACAAAGTTCTTCTGTTCCATACAGAAGTACGCTGGCTGTCGAAAGGCTCGCCTTTTTGAATCGAAAGAAGAGGTTTTTTTTTTTTTTTTTTTTTGTACTCCAACTACCACGAAGGCCTAAGGCCTAAGCACCCATTGGGTACCGTGGGGATACATGGGAAAGGGGGGGACGCCTCACGGACTCTGGCGAGGGAACACCTGTGCATGCAACATGCACACATTCTGGCTCCGCCTACGAGAACCGCCGGGTGGTACCTCCGCGTTCGACAGTCAGAGACCATCTACCACCTACGGACAATCACAACATCCATGGCCAAGAGAAACATTTCTCCTGGGACGGGACTCGAACCCGCACAGCGCACGGCGGCTGATCAGGAGACCGAAGAGTCTACTACTGCGGCCACCGCTGCTGCCTAAAACAAACACACAACATCCATGGCGAAGGCGAGATTCGAACTCGCGGCCCGGCCGGCCGGCTGATCAGTAGCACGACACTCTGACCCACGCGGCCAACCGAGGTCCCGCCGAGGTACTTCTCTTTCTTGAGTTCGAAGAAAAACACGATTTCTTGACAATGTTCAAATATGAATTTGGCTTATTTAACTGACATATTTGACTCCTTGAATGAGCTAAACTTGAAACTTCAGGGCAGAAACAATACGATAATAAGCAATTATGATTATATTCAGGGATTCATATCACAGCTTCAACTTTGGAATCAAAAAGTGTATTCTGAAAATCTTTTTCTCGAAGCAATTAAAAATAACATGCTGGACGCAAGTTTACATAAAAACTCATTTAAAAGCGCTGGAAGACGAATTTCGCTGATACTATCGAGACATCGATTCAGAGTTACTAATATGGCAGATGAAAAGAAATTCATCTGTTGTCGACGTGTCACAATTACCAGAAGTAGTTCAGGAAAAATTTCTAGAAATGAAGGCTGATTCCTCCATGAAAGATGACTTCCATCTTTTAACATTGGAGAAATTTTGTATCAAAATATTGCCTGTTAATTCGACACTTGCCTCTCTTGCTTTACGAATATTAGCTCCTTTTTCTTCAACTTACTTAGAGACAGGCTTCTCTGCTCTAGTTTTAATTAAAATTAAACAGCGAAATCGTCTTGATATCGATAGCGACCTGATGATAGCTCTGGCAAAAACAGAACCTAGAATCAACCTACTATTTTATTCAAGTTTCCGATAAAAAACATTTGTTTATTTAAGCTTTTAAAGTTTAGTAGAATTAAAATAAGTCTTTGTACCTATTTAATGTGCTTTTTTGTATTTATTGAAAAATTAAAGGGGATGAAAATAATTTATAGTCCGGGGAGCCTCAAAAAAAAGGTTGGGAAACCCTGGTCTACAGACATCATCTGGAAATGTGAATATGTAACACAGTTCAATGCTTCTAAGGTTTGGTACTATATCTTGTAGTTTTTCAGATGTACTGGATTGAATGTGTTTCTCCAGCGGCAAGCTAGCACATTGCGTTATTAATACAAATAGTTATTTCTACCTTCGTATGTCTGGTCGTGCATCTTTCGAAGATAATAAATCATAACCAATCTATTATTTTGGAGAATTGATGCTGCTTCAAAGTTGAAAAATGACTAAACCTTCTTTTATAACAATAATGAGAAACCATGAACTTACAACCTCAAATATCTAGACCACGTTCACCAAGCTGCTATGATAGTTCAGTCACAAAGGATATCCACAGGTCTAGTTTTCTTAGGAGAATAAAATTGAATTGAATACAATATTATACACTTGCTGTGTCCAGGTATTCATTTTTTAGTGTAGTTGAACAAGAATTAAACGAATTATGTAGCTTTCAGTTGGCAACTGCAAGGGTATTACATAAAAAACCTACATAATGTCAAAAAAATGGTAAAATGTCAACTTGTGTACTAGGTAGCCGCTAGTGTGCCTCTAGTTCCCTCCGCGCCTACTATAAGTGGTTAATACTAAAGGCGTTACATTTACAACTCCTTACCACCTACAACCCCCAAGTTTCAACCCCTAGAAAACATTTCCCTAAAATGATCATGAGCCTATGAAACGTCAAGAAACGAAGTTGAAGCGATTTGAAAATCGGTCCATTGCCGGCGGAGAAAGAGGCCAAAAACAATAAAAATAAAAATCGCCCAAACTCCGTTTCTTGACATTCCAAATCTGTGGCAAATAGTTAAAAGGGCTTATGTATAAATTTGTGGTTTTCGGTAAAATGACGGTGAAGTTTTGACCTCTTTTAATTTGATTCATTTTTGGTGCGACTGGGAGGAATGGTACAAATCCTTTTTCATCCATTTTGAGTCATTAAGTCCTGAACCAGATACATATACATAGTATTAGAGAATACTTAGATATTTGAGTTAAGTGAGAATATTAGTAGATATGCCTTTTTTGTTAAATAGTGTAATTGAGTTTGCCATGGTAAAAATGAAATAAAACAACATATTTAGAGTGAAAATAGTTCAAACGATATAAGTCAACCTACTACAAGACGTGTCAATATATCAGTTATGCTGAGAAGCGCATAAGTTTATACAGGGTGACTTTGAAGTTGAGTCATTAATTTTCAGATAATGATTGTAGAAGGAAGATAAACCAAAATATGTGTGTAAAAATAAAAAAAAATTAAAAAAAAAATGTTACCTTGTTTTATAAAGTATCCTCCCGACAAGTATTTCAGTGCGGACCTGTGCGCCCAAAAGCATGTCACAAAAACTGTTCGAAATGATTTCCGTTTTGCTCGACGCACAGCTGGGCGCGTCTTAGCCATGTCTCTTTACAAGCACGCAATAAAATCACTGGTTGATTTCTGATCACTGTACTCATTTCCTCAATTCGAGCACGTAATTCTTCGCGTGTATTAACCGGTGTTTTATACATTAGAGTTTTTAGCCAACCCCACAAACAAAAGTCTAAAGGATTTAAGTCCGGAGACCTTGGCGGCCAAGGTACAAAACCGCCACGGCCGATCCAACGATTATTAAATTGTCTATTTAAAAATTCACGCACATTTCTTGCATAATGGGGTGGTGCCCCATCTTGTAAAAACCACATGTTTTGTCTAATATTTAAAGGCACATCTTCCAGTAAACCAGGCAAATTGTGTTGCAAGAAATCAAAATAATTTTCACCAGTTAAGCGATTTGGTAATTCAAAAGGCCCCACTAAAATTCCATTAACAATTCCCGCCCACAGGTTGATTGGTTCAAATCGCTGTTGAAAATTGGTTTCCCTTATTTCATGGGGATTTTCAATAGCCCAAACGTGAGAATTACGTGAATTAATAATTCCGTTTCTAGTAAAGAGGGCTTCATCACTCACTAAAATTTGATTTAAAAAATTGTCATCATTTTGATGTTTATTTAAAAGCCAATTGCAAAAGTCAACCCTTTGTTCATGATCTTCCGGTTGTAAGGCCTGCACTTTTTGTATGTGAAACGGATAGAACTGATTTTCACGTAGAGTTTTCCAAGTTTTATACTGACTAATCGCCAATTGAGTTGAAATTTGTCGGGTGCTTACTGTTGGATCATCACTTACTAATTCTAAAATTTGTTCTTCTAGTTCTATTTGATCGTGTGGTCTTGGAGCACCGGCATGATCTCCTCTGTGAGGTCTTAAGTCACCTGATTCACGAGCTCTTTGCACTACATTAACAAAGGCACGAGGGGTTGGTTGAACTCGATTGGGAAACCGATCCGCATAGATCCGTGATGCCGCGGCAGCATTTTGTAAAGACTGTAAGAACCATGTCCACAAGTTCAGCATTTTCGTAAACATGTGCCATTTTTGATTTGAGCCTCGCAACAGGCACGATTATTCACTTACGCGTTACCGACTACCGACTGATACTGACTGTATACAACTGAAGAAAATAATTGTAAAAAGATCGTTCCAAATTCTTTCGCTTTTTTGTTTCCGATGCGATGAACGGATAAGGCGGATTATATCTGTTGTTGCCAAACACGAGAACATAATATCATTATTGAGACAGGGCGGTACTCAAACTTCCAAAGGGCTATAACTTTGTTACTTTAATTTTACCAGAAAAATGGTAAAGGAAAAAAACATTTCTTTTGATCAGATCTACTCACTGTTAAAATAAATGACTCAACTTCGAAGTCACCCTGTATGTTTTCAATCTATTTCTGTGGTTTACTGCAGTTAAAAGAGCTCGAATGAACATGCTCTTCGGCATTTTTTAAGCTTTTCGGTACTTTGTGTATAAGTAAACATATTTTGATAAAGATATAACAAGTTTTATTAACACAAAAATTTCATTCTATACATTAATATAACTAAAAATGTGTATACTTTAGAATTAAATTAACAAACAGTCTTTCTTAGTGATACCAGGTAAAAGACAAAACTAAAAATAGAATAAAATCGATGAAAACAAACATTTTTTTATCAATATAACTAAAGATAGGAACACATTATAATAAAACTGACAAGCAGTGCTGCTTCATCAGGTACTAGCATTCTTCATCAGTTAGGTACATATCTACATTTGGATCGGTATCTTCTTCAATTTTTCCGTCACTTTTCAACTCACTGTGGAATGATTGAACCTTTTTGTCAAAAGAACAAAAATTTCGCAAGATTTTGTTTGTTTAGGTTGTTGATTGGACGGGGGCCATCATATATAGTTTTTTAATTCGGTATTCTTTAAACTTGAAGATTTATGGCCCCTTCTAAATAAATTAATCTCTTTGAATGGTTCACCTTATGTCAAACTGTTCTTGTAACCCACTGTGGCATTTTTAGTGTACCTTATCCAACGAATTTTAGGCAGCAGCGGTGGCCGCAGTAGTAGAGTCTTCGGTCTCCTGATCAGTCGCCGTGCGCAGTGCGGGTTCGAATCCCGTCCCAGGAGAAATTTTTCTCTTGGCTATGGATGTTGTGATTGTCCGTAGGTGGTAGACGGTTTCTGTCGGACGCGGAGGTACCACCCGGCGGATCTCGTAGGCGGAGCCAGAATGTGTGCATGTTGCATGCACACGTGTTCCCTCGTCAGAGTCCGTGTGACGTTCCCCCTTTCTCCAGTATCCCCTTATAGCCCGACGGTACCCAATGGGTGTTTAGGCCTTAGGCCTTCGTGGTAGTTGGAATCAAAAAAAATGTTTCTTATTTTGTATTTTTTTTCTGAAGAGGCCCCTTTTGTAGATCTCCGTAAAAGCAAAAAAATATTCCATTTCCATAGGAAAAGTGCGGACGCTATCAGTTTAGTCAGTCAGAAAACCATAAGCGAATTTGAAACTATATTTTTTTTTATTAAGAAGGGCATAAGTATTACTGTGCCTAATACATGGATGACCTAGCTAGACATAAGTTTTCTTAGTTTGAACAATATTTCATTCGATGTTTAGCTGGAAAGGGTGATGTTGACTTATGCCCGCAGTATGGATATTTTCGAGATAGTACGTGCACTTACTCCTGTCAGTAAATGTACAAGTAACTATTATATAACACATGGTTCAATAAGTCCCGGGACTAACTATGAAAACAGCATTTGTTTCGCAAAATTCATTTTTATTCATCAACGTAATCGCCATCAAGTGCAATGCAATCATTCCAACGTTTTTCTAACTTCTCGATACCATGAAGAAAGAATCGTTCATGGTGTCAAAATTAGCTTCTGTTGCAGCGATATCTTCCTCGTTAGAGCCAAATTTTTTTCCCTGGAGCATCTTTTTGAGATTAGCAAAGAGCGAGTAGTCGCTGGGGGCTAGATCTAGAGAGTACGGTGGATGGGGAAGCAGACTGAAGCCGAACTCGTTCAATTTGGCCATTGTTTTTATTGACTTGTGACACGGTACGTTGTCCTGATGAAAGATGATTTTTTTCTTCTTCATGTGCGCTCGTTTTTTGCGATTTCGTCCTTTAAACGCATCAGTAACTCAATGTAATAATCGCTGTTGATACTTTTTCCTTTTTCAAGGTAGTCTATGTAAATTATACCCTGTGCGTATCAAAAAAATGACGCAATGACTTTTCTAACTGACTGCTGCGTTTTTGGACGCTTCGGACGGCTTTCACCAGCTGCAGTCCACTCAGTTGACTGCCGATTTGATTCCGGAGTAAAATGGTGGATCCATTTTTGTCTACTGTCACATACCGATGCAAGAAATCCTGTTTATTGCGGGTGAACAGTGACAAACAGCTCTCCAAGTTGTCAACTCGTCGCTTTTGTTCCATTGTGAGGAAACGCGGCACCCATTTGGAAAAGACTTTTTTCATACTCAACTTTTCGTGTAAGATGGTAAATGAACTTCCGGTTGATATGTGTACTACCTCAGCAATCTCAAGAGCTTTCAGTTTGCGGTCATTCATCACGATTTTTAAAACCTCCTTAATATTTTCCGAAGTTACTGCTTCATATGGTCTACCCGAGCGTTCCGCATCCTTTGTATCAGTACGACCGCGTTTAAAATCAGCATACCACCGGCAGATCGTTGTTTTCGACGGAGCAGCGTTCGGATAACATTTTTCAAGCCATTGCTGAGCTTGCACGATATTCTTTCCCATTAAATAACAATGTTTTATCAACACACGAATTTCGTTTTTGTCCACTTTGGAATCAAATGCAAAAGTAACCTCACTTTCACCGCAGTATCTTTGATGTTTAGGGTGCGATTTTCACGAAAATTTCACAGGTGTCACATAAGGGTTAGCTCTTTCGACAAATGAAGTTGACTTGTCATTACTGTCGTCATTTGTGTGTGAGTCCCGGGACTTATTGAACCATGTGTTACATAAATCAACGTGTGCCTTTTTAACCAAGGAGATTAGACGAATATGATTCAAGCCTCAATTTTTATTCTGATTTTAATGACCTTTCCTTTATATATTTATGGATACAACTTTACTGAATTGTTCTTACAGCCTTTCTCTCAACGAATACGTAACATTGTCATAAGTTGGTAAGAATGACATACCTTTTCAACTATTTGCCACAGATGATGATTCTGATCATTTTCGGTAATTTTTTTTTGTGGTGGTTAAAAATTGGAGGTTAGGGGTAGCAGCGGGTGGGGAGGGCATATCTCAATTTTTTCACGTCGATATATTTATACGCCAGTATCCCAGTAATTCTACGCACATATTAGGCATATTTCACTCATCATAGAGATCCTACAGTTGGGTGTCTCCAAAGGGGAGGGATACATGTTCGTAGTTAACCTTTTGCTCAGAAGGCTAACTTATGCCAAACATAATCCCTTACGAACTGATGGCAGGGTAGCGTGGGAATTACAAAGTCAATTTGCTTGACGCCATTGTTTAAGTTACGTAATACAAGTGGCGGTTATTGAAAAAAACGGCCATCTTAATATCGTGAGTTGACAAGCCACTAAGGTGTTTGTCTTATCTGCCTGTAGTAACGGTGTCACTCCTATTATAAATATGGTTTAACAATTAGGTAAATCATCGATTTTTATATTCATCGCCGCATTACCTTCTGTTGTAGTCACGACATTTGAAAGGTGACTCTACTGAGAACGAATAAGAACCTTCATTTTCGCTCTCCTGACATTTAAATGACCAAACAATTGTTTGTTTTGATAGAAGCGTTTCATTTTGCGATTGCAGTAACAAAGGCTGGTATGCGATACAAAACGCCACTGTTTTTGTTTGATGAGAGATAAGGCAGATAAAGGAAAATTAGGAAAGTGCAGCGTCACAGTATGAGATATATGCGAATATGTTGATTTTGATCATACACATATGTGAAGAGGCAGGTTTAACAAACAATATGTATACGGTTCCGATTCATCTTTTCAATAAATCATCGATACAGTGTAGCTTACAAGACGACAGACAAAATTCGACTGAGTAGCCTCATTCCGATTACGGCCTTCAAAAAATGCTAAAGCGTTCCGAAACAAAATTTGTAGTAGAATAATTGGACTTTTAGGATTTCCTATAGATCTTGGTGAAAAACTCCATTGAGATTCGAGATCTTCGCACCCACTTTACCTAAGAAATACCCTTCGGTTGTTAATGTACATACGGTAAGAATTTTGGAATTTTCTAATAGAGAATTCCCATTTACGTGCTCCGTCATTACCTGGTACAGTGGCGTAACAAAATGAGACATTCAGGACTTTCAATTTTAGCAAAAAAATCAGACACTGGATTCGGATCCATGCACCCCAAGCAAATCGACAGTTTGATTGATCCTCACGCATTTCAGGATACATTATGGTTATAGATGACTCTAATTGGAAGAGCATTATTTGTCGGTATTTTCACAGCTTAGGAATTCAGAACAATTTTTAGTAGATAAATATTCAGTATTGTTTTAACGCTCCTTATATAAATATTATTATTTTCCTTTCAATGTTCTGAGTTGGATATAAGCTTTTTATGAATTGTTACAGGCAAATAATGGAAAAAGGATCATCTCAGAATTGGAGAGATGTTTTGTTCCAAGCCACAGGTGAAAGCAGATTGGACGGTACTGCACTTCGTGAATACTTCAGGCCATTAGAGGACTGGCTGAGAGACGAGAATTTGAGAACAGGTAAATTTGCTGGAATCAATATCTATTACTTTAAGTTATACTGGGATTGATTCAAACACCTCTTCCGTATGTAAGACTTAAGTATTAGAGTAGCTCGAAAACTTGCAGCTTTATCAAGATAGGGTGGTTTCATACCGAAGATGCTTATCTGCGATTGCACTTGTCTTATACGTAAATATAATGTCAGCTGAGTTATACAACAGAAACATCTCGCTGCATTTTTATAGACTCCATTTCAAACACTGGCCTGAATACTCTCGAAACAGGATGGCATAACTTACATACATAAAAATCTGTTTCAGTGGCAAGCGCTAGATCTTTATCGTTACGATAACCATAAAGCACACGTCTTAATTTGATGTTATGCATGCGTCTGGAATATTATGTACTTTTTTGTAGCTGGTAATAACGGTATAGTATAAGAGGTAGAAGATGAGGTAACCTGATATTTTGTCCATATCGGCACTAGTAAAATGGTGGCTTGGAACGCTAATATCGCACATCTATATGGAGGAAAGTGCAATTAAAACTAGCAAAAAAATATATCTCAGACATCTAAAGCCAGTGAATATTTGAATATTCTTAGACAGTCTAACCGATATTGTCAGAATTTAATTCGACTCAAACTTGCTCAAGATTGATGGCAACATCCAAATATCGATCCAAGCGAGAATGGCGGATACAGCATTTGTGGTCGATATTTTTGATATGTGAAGATTACTTAAGGAAAACATATTTCTAACGACGTCTCCGTCAGGGGCCTGTTTCTCCGGAATCCAGAGGTGTTTCGAGAATCGACATGATCTAATACAATAGTTTCGGAATAGTCCCAAGAATCACTCGTTGAATTTTTGTTCCTTGTGTGGGAAATACGTCGTACATGACTAAACTAAGACAATATCATCATGTTAAGTTACAAACAAAAAGTTTCAAAAACATAAAGTAATATATATGTTTCTAAGCTGGTAGACGGAAGAATGGATGTCTAAATTTGCACATTAACTACCTTAATGACAGAACACATGGGGCTGAATTTCTAATAATGAACTAACGGACATGCAGTGCAAGCAAGCCGAAAAACGCAGAATCGTTATTTTATTTATATTTGCGTCAAGTTGGCAACCAGACTCACGCACCCTCTTATTTCTACGCCATCATCGATGCCCTTACAAGTCAGGGTTGTCACGCGTGGTGATTTTTCACAAAATCTGGTGATTTTTACCTGTTTACATCCATTACATATTTGTATTGTATTTTATTAAATTTATTAAAGATATTCGAAAGTCATAAATACACTTACTTGAGATGTATGCTTCATTCTGGAAATTGAATTTGCAAATTTGCTAAATTTCAAAAATGGGAAAGACAAAAAAAAGTTGTCCCTGCTTGGTAAAATTCATCACAACAGGTGAGAAAATAAATAATACAGACAGAAATATTTATGAAACTGGAAAATGTTATTATATTTTACATTATTTTTTTACCATAATAACCCGTCTGGCGCAGCATATTCAGTAATAATTTTCTCGCAACCAAGTTTCACATCTCAGAGATATACCGTACTTTGCCATGTTTTTGAAACATATTATATACGGACCATACCTGTCTTATTTATTAAGATAACAGCTTCAAATAAATTTTAATGTACCAAATGAGCCATTGCGGATAGAGTCGTTAGTTAAGATTTTCACATTATATCATATTTAAAAAAATAAAAAATAAAAAATAGTGTGACAATGTTACCCCGGGTCTGGGGCTACTTTGTCACCTTGTGGAAATACGATTTAAATCGCGTTCTGTTGAGCTTTGTGACAAAGTAGCCCCGATAAAAAGATGGACATAAAAATACTAGGTAGGTACATAGTGAGTATATATTTTTTCAAGTTAAAAAACAAAACTTTGAATTATTAATGGTAACTGTATAAAAACTGAAAACTTATTTAAGGGGCAAAGGTGGCGTCGTCATCGCTATTATCGCTGAAAGGTTCGTCTTCTTCTTCGGACTCATCCTCACACCTCAAACAGGCAAAATAAGGATCTTTGCTACCCTCATTACATATGCCACATATCCACTTCTGGCATCTTAAACATTGAATCCATTCGAGAGTGCTGTTGTAGTTTATAAATTTAGTTGAGCAGATTCTACACTGTGAAGTGATATCGCGAATCCGTAATGCCTTTTTCGAAATATTTATTGACCTCGTCTGTTTAGGAGCGGACCTTTTCTTTTTTGAGATAATACCAGATGTAGCACTGATATTCATGTTTTCGGACACAGAACAAGGCAATTCGTCGTCATCAGATTCAACCCCTATGTCTTTAGGTGCATCCTGTGTAACTGCCTGTTTAGCTATTGTGTCCATTTCTTGTCCCGGTTTAAACTTCTTTCCCCTCTTCCGTTTTTTCTGTTCGTCTGATGTGCCCCGTATTTCTTTCAACATGTCTACTAGACTGGCGACAAGAGAACGAGGAACTTCTTCACTGGTAGGGAGAGCCCCGGGAATTTTTCTTAAAACTTCGTCTGGGTTCATGGGATATAGCCCTGTGGTCCGAAACCCAGACTGTAGATTTTTTTCGACACTATCATTGATCTGAGCCCAGAGCTTTGCAAGTAACTGGGAGAATTGCTCTTTAGGCAGGGTGCCTCGGTGTATCGACTCTCCTTTCGCCACCGTTCTAAAATTTCGCGCCACTTTCTTTTTAGATGGGCGAAAACAGCCACGTCTAATGGATGCATCAAATGGGTTGCATTGGCCAGAAATGGACACATATAAAAATATTGTTTTCCTTGGCAGCTTGTATAACGGAACCACTGTTTTTGCTCCAGCTTCTCGTGTTGATTGTACGTGTGGAAGCAACACTTTAAAAAAAACATTTTTCAAACTGGCTGATATCAAACCAGCCTGAAATGGTATTACCACCAGTACACCATTGGTGGCAATAATTGACCAGCAGCATTTTCGGCCACCAGTATGCTTGTGCAAGAGCGTGAATGGTTCTGAACCCGTTCAACTCTTCTAAAGTTCCTCGGTACTATTACCTTCTTGGCACCAGGATCATCGGCTATATTGGTTTCATCATAGTTGTAGATGTTTTGACGACTTGCATTTAAATGAGCGTATTTCACAATATTAAAAAATTCCAACACATCGGCTTGGTCCACGTATGATCGCGCGCGCTTTATGTTTGTGGCCATCCGCACTGAGAGGTTGTTCTTTCTCACACAATTATCAATAAAATCCTCACCTGGATAATTGTCTTTAAACACACTCACAACTCTACCTTGTTTATCCAAGTATTTTTTAACTACTGTGCGAATACCTAACTTGGTCAAAGGGAAACCCCAGTTGGCCACTTGCCCAAGAGTATCTGCAATCACCTGTTGCTCCTGATGATATAGAACGGTGGGGTGACCGCATTTTCAGTTATGTCTTCCAAGACATCTATTTACAAGAGTAACCCGTTTTGAATAATATGGCTCCTCGTTTTTTGGACATGCCACTTTTGACAGCGTTCACCGCTTTTTCAAGGTCCTCTTTGGAATAATTCTGATAATTCCGACTACCCGGCATTTTTATATATTTCCTGACCATTTTTATTTAGTTAGTACCTGTAACAAAGGAAAAACGTTGTACAAGCGAAAATTAATAATCAAAACAAAGAATTAATGAAAAATCAGTATGGCTGCGCCCGAGGTGACAAAGTTACCCTGGGAGGACAAAGTAGTACCGGTTGACGATACTCTACAGGAATTCTGCAACCAACAAAGCATGCTAGCGAACTGAATGGTCATTGAGCATGTCATTGAGTCAATGCTTCATAGGTGACGCTGTGGGTGAGACTCACAGCGCTCGTAGCGGCAAGAGTGAAAAGAACTATTTACACACTAGGAGCTATCTCGTCAGCAAGTTTATTATTATACAGATTTTATGTAACAACCCTGCGAACCTAGGCTGTGGACCACCTGAATCGGCGGTATCTTGCGGCCACAGTGGTGACCCGGCTGTCAAATGCCAAATTGCTGTTTCTCTCGCAGTGGTTGAGTCTGAGAATAGATGACACTTTGTGCTGACTTATTCCATCTCTTGACAATTATAAAATAACATCAGATGCTGAACTGTGGGGCTGAGAAAATATTTGTCTAGGCTACAATACCTTTTTTGTTATAACTGATACAATCCTTTATTCCAGGAGAGTTCGTGGGTTGGCTCTACGACGGCGATTATTGTAAGCAAAGCATCGAGACCGCAGGCTTACAGGTGTATGGAGGATTCTACAATGCTGCCGTGGCTCCAACGTCGAATTCGATAGTGAACACCTTGTTAATAACAGCTTTTATCTTATACAGTAAAAGATTCTTTCAATGACAATTCTTGAAAGTCTACGATATATGTAGAATAAATAACGATCTTTGATATGTGAACTTACACGAGAGGAAAAGCGTTATAGAAGTACCAGCACTTTAACATGACATAATTGTGTACATGCTATTTTTTGTATCACTGAGAAAGCCGCTTATTTAAATTTTGCTTAGATGAAATAATGTTTAAAGTTCATTCTTACACTGTAGATAATACTTTATGTGAATATTTTGGTGCACCTAAAGCAATAATTTCATTTTATGTACTCGTAAACTGCCATTTTTGAATAGTTAATCGAATACACGAACATTTATTTCTAAAATTAGCAGAGATATCTAAAAGATCTTATAAATGAAGACTTATAGGACTAGTATGCTGCCATTTTCAATATTTAATCGAAACATTCAATATGAACATCTATATAATTACATATCTAAAATTGTTAGACTTGGATTGCTCTCAAATATGCTGTCATAGGACCATACATGTTTCTTTCCAGTGTCATCTTTAAGTTTTTGTACCACGCCCAGTTTAAAGTAAGCCAGTATTCTATATTAGAGGAGCGGAAGCGGTTCGTTTAAATATAGGATTATTGTACGTACATGAGAGGTTAATCCCAAAAGTTGGATTTCCTATTTTTTCAACTAACAAAAAGCGATTATATCCATTAATTTGTACATTATTATAAAGCCGATGATTATGTAAGAAATAGACCGATGTTTAAGCTTTATGATGATGTATTAGTTATTGGACATAGTTTTAAAAGAATAGGATACCTTACTTTTGTCAATATCCTCGTATAGAGTGAACAGATAGTATTTTGATATGGTTGTATCTTATATTAGGCTCAAATTAATATAAAGAATTATCGCTGAAAGTGTGATATAGTATTTTTATAAGATCTTATTAATATATTTTTATGAATGAAATATACATAATACTAGTTTTATTTCACTGAGCGCAGTTCAGTTCATCTCTTAAAATCCCTGACTCCCTGAGTAACGTGAATATGTAGATTTAAGGCGTTAAGCGAGTATTTATCGACCGCGGCAATATAATTATAGCCCAAGGATAGCAGCACCAAGGGACATAAACGTTCAATACCGAGATGCATACAAAATTTTATCTACGACCTGCTGCATGGTAAGTAAAATATAGTTTCATCTTCAAATACTAAAAAAATAAATTGACCATACTTATATCACAGGTTAGCTTGCCGCAACCATTGCCTAGCAACAAATAAATACAAACAGTTATCATAGATGATGAGCATAGGCTTTAATGCTGTTGTTCAAGGGGGTATTCAAAACATGGACGCATGGAATTGGTATGTCAATTTTTGGGTAGGAAAACTTTTTACTCGACAACAAAGAATGAGAAAACGCGTTTTTCAGGATTGAATCGGAAAAGTTGGCAGGCACGAAAAAAATGTTCACATGAGATTTTTAGGTATTTATGAGACCTCCAAAATGAGACCACAATTAAAAGATCCGACTAAAAGCAACAAAGTTATGGCCGAAAACCGAGGCAAACTGCAGGTTTTGACACTTGTTGGTAATGCAACGATGGTTTCTCTCAGATACCCGAAATTTTTCAAATTTGTAGGATTCGTACTTCTTATAACCACAACAAAATTGGAGTAGATTGCTCAAGTAGCTTTTGAGAATTTCTAATTGCTTATCCCAAAACACCTGTTTTTCGTCCATCACTACTAGTTTATTGAGCAATATGCAGGGGTAGCTCAGTAGCTCAAAGGGCATTTTTTATCCAAATACACTAGTTTACCTTGCGTCGATATAAATGGCAAACCATTCCGGAAGATAAATGTTATTTTTATGCAAAAAAGCATTTTTTTTCTTCTAAACAAATTCAAACATTTCGTATTTTAATTGGCAACAAAAAAAGATAGACACATCCGCTTTGTTTTAAAATGTGTATAGTAACGTATGTTTTTGGAATATCGTAGCGCATTTGTTCAATTACGCACAAATACGAAAAGTTCGAATTTGTTTAGAAGAAAAAAACGCAACCTTTGTTTTTCGCGTAAAATTAACATTTATCTTTTGGAATGGATTGTGATTCATATCGGCAAGGTAAAGACGCGTATTTTGCTATTAAATGCTCCTTGAACAACCCTTGTACTCGTATATTGCTCAATAAACTAGTAGTGATGGCCGGAAAACAGATGTTTTGGGATAAACAATTAGAAATTCTCAAAAAACTACTTGACCAATCCAGTTTTGTTTGGTCATTTTAAAGTATGAATCCTACCAATTTTAAGAGTTTCAAGAATCGTCCGATTATCAACAAGTGCCAAAACCTGCAGTTTGCGTCGGTTTTCAGCTATAAATTTTTTGCTATTAGTCGCATCTTTATTCACGTGATCTCATTCTGTAGGTCTCATAAATACCTAAAAATCTTATTTGAAGAGTGTTCTCGTTCCCAAAAAGCACGTTTTCTCCTTCTTTGTTGTCGAATAATAAGTTTTCCTACAAAAATTGGTGTACCCATTTTATGCGTCTATATTTTAAATACCCCCTTGCATAACTTGCATCAATAAAACCAGACTTAAAAATCATTTCGAGGAAATTTGCTAATATGATTAGACTATATGTAAGGATAGCTTTACCACCCAAGGGCATAAACAAGTCCGTGGGCTAAACAAAATATCAAATTTCACTGATCCAGGATAACAGATGTTATTCGTGGTGATAATTTTCAAATAGAAAAGTCTTAAACCACAATATCTACGCGCATTTTTCTCAAAAAATATCTGCAAAGAAACGGGAAATACGTAAAACGATATAATTATGTATTTGCACGATATCGGATATCTATATCGATTCCTGACATGAAATTCCCGTGATCGATATTCACCGCCGTTACGTAAGGCACTTTTCAAAATTAGAACTCATTATACAATTGTGCAAGTATTACACACGTAGGTATCATTATTTTTGAATAATATATTGTTTTTAAATTATAATCAGGTTATACGCATCATCGGGATTTTCGCACATTGACCAAATGTCGTTCGGTTAGCAAGAGTTTCGTCGTTTTTGAAATCACTGAATTTGTTTACTACTTATACAGGGAGTCTCAACGATAATACGACTGCTTCGTTGTTTTAATATGCGAGATATCACAATATATGTAGCAAATCTTTCTGATACATATACAGGGTGATTCAAAAATCAGTGATAATATTTTCTCGAACAGAAAGTAGGTCAAAAAGCAACATGACAAATTTAAATAACCATGAGTCTTAAACTCCCCCTAACCGAGATATTATGGTGTTGAAGTAATAGTTTCAAAATCATGGAAAAATTATGTCTGAAGTGGAAAAAAGTATCGACTTAATATTTTGTACATGCAGTACTAACAGCTCAACCATTTTTTGCGGCGCCAGTGACATACACGATTAATCTAAAGAAGAAATATTTTGTGCGCCACTGACCTTTCAAGAACATTATTGCACTTTTAGATAAAGTAATATTTGATGTAAATTATTTATCCCCAGAAATTGTTGTCATACAATTCCCTTTAGAGAAAACTTGGCCTGGACATTTGAGATAAGATCCATTTGAAAGGCTTCAATCCATTCTGCTTTGAAAACACACTGAGGCCAGAGAGTTTCATTTGTGATGTAGAAACATTAACCCTGGTATACTGACAATCTGACGTTTTAGGATCTATAGTCAACGCCAAACAAAGTGGCGTGCACGTCATCAAGGTGGGTGTGTTGAAAAATTTACATTGTTGCCAAACTTTTTGTAAAATAATAAAATTTATTATTTACATATCTAGGTTTATAAGCAATATTAACCTCAAATGAGAACAAAAATAATAGTATAATAAAATTATAGATCTGTACTTGCATAATCATTAAGTATGACAATTATTGATCAGATGACACTATGAAACTACCATATTTAATTGATAGCTTAAAGGTGCTGAATAAAAACCAAATGGGGTCCTCCAAATTTTATGCATGGTATTTATTTTACAGAATTCATACAGAAAAATGCATTCTAAAATTAGGTAAGCTACTGGTGTAAGCTTTTTCTGTACAATAAAGTTAGTCGGAGTTTCTTTCTTCAGCGCTGTCTGAATCTGAATCTTCATCACTCTCAAAGTTGATTATTAAAGGTTCGATGTCTGGTCGATCAAAAATTCGCAGTTTCATCAGGTGATCCCAAGTCTAATATACTAGTTCCGTTAAAAAATACAGTCAGATTCGAAATAAGCGACCTGACAAAACGCAGGTTATTAATTTTCATGTCAGTTAATCAAGTTTTAGATATTCATGATTTAACTGTTTGGAACTCGGATGCCATGTGAATCTAAGCGAACTTTACTGATACACTTTTTCTCAAAAACGGCTTATTTTATCGACTTCAAATAGAATTGTTTATATTTTTCGTATCATACAGGACATAAAATATAGCAATATTGCATTAGCGCTAGTACGACTCTGGCAATCTAAATGAGTTAATTGTTTGCGCATCTGATCTGAATGCATGAAATGGAGAGTACTGAGTCAACTAACTTGACATAGATTTTTTACAACAAAGCCATCGTTTCACCCGACCGCCTCATGTGGGTACTCTTGCATGAATTTTGTAGTGCACACATATTCACACACATATTCGATAAAATCAAAGCACAGAAACAGGTATGTAAATTGTAGGCTATTCGAATGCTTTCATGCAGAAAAGACAATATCAACAAGAATATCTCATTATGCAATAGGTTAATAAGCTAAAACATAAGAAAAAATGGAGTCAAGTATGTTTACTAAACTTAGTGCAAAAAGGTATAGAAAAAACTGCCCTAAGCCGGAGCTCTCCCATAAAGAAGATCCTAGGTTTGCGTTTTTCATTATTATACCTGCACCTACATATTTGCAAATAAGTCTTAATACCTATACATTTTCTCATATGGTATGATCCTGGGTTTGTCTTTCTTATGAAATAGTTTCACTTAGATACCTTCCAGACAAATAAGATAATATTGCATGAAAAGAAGGGCACATCTACGATTTTTATCACGAAGGAATTAGTAACCATGCATCTGTTCAAATATATTCTGTATGTTTGCTGAATACTTAGACCCTTGCTTAACCTTAATTGATGACTGACAGTTTTTACAATTCAAGATACGAACTTAAAAGTAAACGTTTGATAGATTCAAAATGAGAACAGTCTGGCTTGTTTGTCAAGCAGGTCTAGAACTCTCGAGCTGTTGGTCCGAAGTTCATTGGCATTTATTTGTGGAAAGAGCCAGACCATCGACTATTTGTTGAGGAAATCTCAGTATTTATCAGGGGATATTAAAAAAACAACTAGATAATTTCCTGTATTACATTTTTTGCACAAAAGATTATACACCCTGTCCTTCCTGTTATAGAGAATCAGCTTTCACAACGGACGTATTACAGATTATATTCAAAAAATGTGTTCTAGATTGACTGTATATCACGCTACAGGCAGACATCGTAAGAGAAATCCCGATTTTTATGAGTCAGATACACATAAATGTAATAATAAAAATAACTCTTGCACGTTACAAAACTTCACTTTCTATTCTCGGAAAACAGCCTCATGGGTTTGGTAACGATTTTTATTGTCTTTGGCGAATTAAAAACAAAATACCAAAGAATATATGCCAGGTGTCAAAAATGTGCATTTGAGTTAACGCAGTCAACCGGTAAGAGAGCTACATGATGATGCACGTTTTACAGCGAATTCTTTATATGGCGTGCAGAAAAAAAGTTTTTTGTTCGAAGGTGTTGACATTTTTTGAAGGTATGAAAAAAGATGAAGCGTCAATTAAGTCGTAAGACTTTTATCGCGAGGAGCAAATTGCCCAACAAAAAAGGTAGCAACACATGGAATTAAATGGATCATGTTAGTCAAACTCGCTCATACAAT